GAAAGAGGGGGAGGTCTTCAACGAGCTGGATTGATACGGTGGCTGCGATGATGGGCTCAAGTATAGCAGGGATTGTGGGGCTGGCGCGGGATTGGGCAGTGTTTCGTTCTGCTGTGCATAGGGTCGCTATGAGTCGGAAGCGACTCGACGGCACTTAACAACATAACAACAACTCTACTTATCTCTATTCATTTAAATCTTACACAGTCTTCCAAGTCCACTTCAATTCCCAACTTCTCAAGAAGCTATTCTCATGATTTTGGTTCTCTTTGACCTTTCTCAGATTCCCTGGAGTAGTTCATTACAATTTTCATATTATATGTGGCTTTCTTCTTCAAAGGACCTCCAGCAATGCAGTGATTAAAGAATTAGGCCATTACCCAAAAGGTCTGGGGTTTGAACCCACCAATTGCTCCCCAGGGAAACATGACAGAGTTTGATTTCTTAAAGATGCATAGCCTTGGAAATTTTATGAGGCATTTTTACATTATCCTGTAGGGCCACTGTGAATTGTAATTGACTCAATGGCTATGAGTTTTGTTTTGCTTTGTTTTATTCGATGGATCCTTTAAAGCACTTGTTCTCATCTTTTACATTTCATAAGGTTTCTAACACTGCTCTGGGAGACTCTTCCATATACACACCACATACTGACACAGGTGCCAAAATCCTTTGTTAAAACAAGTGCTTTTATGAGCTCTGTGTCTTGCAGAATTGCTGTTGATTCACTTCTATTAGACTCTGCAACCCACACAATCGAGATGCCGGTTTTTCAGAAGATGATCTCCAGGCTAAGTCACCAAGGAACATATCCACATTATTGAATTAAAAGAAATCACTTGAAGCATTTAACACCATTTTTGGAGCTGATGTCTATTTGGAGCTGAAAAGCATCCTGTGTATGTTCTCTTAAGGATGATTGTAACCTTGTTTTTTGCAGAGAAAAGAGAATGAGGTCAGCATTGACGAATTTTGTGACACGATGAGAAATACCACACTGGGTTTACCATATTCTAGATTCACAAGAATTGAAAATTTAATACTCAAGAAAAAAAATATGACTTGCTTTGAAACAAATTATAATACTTTCCTGAAAGCCTTGAATTATTCTTCCATAAGCAACATCAGTAATCGAGGAGGTAAAGTGTTATTTGGTGAAAATAGAAATTTTCCTGTTGATGTTGAAAACGTGAGCACAAAACCATGCATTAGACATGCTGCAAATAGTGAGGCTACATTAAGCTACATTATGAAAGAAACAGAAATAAGGACTTATTTAAGGTTGAAAATAGACAAGAATGTGTCAAGGAGCTGGACATACACGAGTTCTGGTGGCATAGTGCCTAAGGCTTTTTACTGCTAACCAGAAGGCTGGTGGTTCAAACCCACCAGCCAATCCTTGGAAGGAAGTTTGGGCAATCTACTTCCATAGTGATACCACTTCAGAAACCCAAGGAGGGGTCGCTGTGAGTTGGATCTGACTCCACAGCAGTGAGTTTGATTTTTGGTTTGGTATAAAAGGCAGAAATACCAAATGATTCAGATTGAAAGGAGCAGAATAAAGAAATGTGTCCCTTAGTACTTTTCAACATAATCTAGCATCACTGATGGCAAGAAAGTACCTCACCCCACTTCAAATTCTATGTAGAGCGGTTTTCAAAACTGGTTGTGCTCTAGAATTTCCTCCCCTGTTGCTGAGGAGTCAATTTCACCTTGTTGAGACCTGTGTTAGACAGCAGAACTGCACCACAGGGTTTTCCTGGTTGGAAAGTTTATGGAGCAGAGCGCTAGTCCTTTCCTCTGCAATGCTGATGGGTGAGTTCAAATTGCCAACGTTTTTGTTGGTAGTAGAGCACACACCATTTGCACCAGCCAAAGACCTGCTCCCTTCCACTCACCTGTTTGAAATGCAATAAACTACAACTTCAAGATATCTGAAGCATATGTAGTTCTTAAAGTTGTTAACTGAACTGCTCAAAGACACATGAGTCTTTGATATAGCTTCTAGACTTTCAATGCAATGAACTTCTAAGTGATTATCTTCAACCTCATGCACTGAGTTACCAATCCTATCAATATAGTGAGCTTTTGGGGGAGAAGTTGAAGCCAAAGCCTGACTGACAGTGTGGAGATGCTGAGGGAGAGGGACATCAAATGTGTATTCCTTCAAGGAGCTTCCTAGACAGGGTCCTGGGATAACCTGAGGAGGAGTTAACTGGAGTAGGATGCAGAGAGAATGAAACCTTTTCAGCAGAGGCTAAAATAGAGCGTGATCAGTGAGGCAGACCAAGGTATTCATAGTGATGGCTCTGTGAAGAACAAGAAAGTGTTACTTCAGGGACATATGTGGTCCTCTCCACCATCTCTTCTTCATTGGACATAGTTGTAATTCTTAATATGTTAATGTTGGATTTGACTAAAAATAACATTGCTAATGAGTAGATCAAATATGGTTTAGAAAGTTAAGAGCAGCATGTAAATTAGAGCACATGATTATTTTAATCTTTTTTGTTTGTTTATCTACAAACATCATTTCTGAGTAAGTCAATTGATATTTTTTTCCCTAGGCAGGCAATGGTTTTATCAGCGTTGCACTGAATTCGGCTTATTTATTACCACGGATTCAAAGGAGCATCCCTTCTCTGGATTGACTCTCAGGTAAAGTCTCTGCTTTGCAAATTATCTTCCATACTTAAAGAGAAGATTAAATTGATCATTGACTAACCCCACTTAATGAAAATGAAACAGAGAAATATTCTGGGTAGAAGCTTGAAAAACGGAATATATTCTAGTAATATATGTAGAACCAAATTTCAGATTTCTGAATATACCTTAATTGGTAGCTGCAGGAAACACAGTATATGTTTCGTTATTGCTAGATGTCATCCCGTTGGCTCTGACTCAGAGCAACAATATGCTCAATGCAACTAAACCCTACCCAGTCCTATGCCATCCTCAGAGTCTTTGCTACACTTGAGCCCATCATTGCAACCACTGTGTCAATATATGTCATTGAGTTCTTCCTCTTTTTCACTGACCCTCTGTTTTACCCACCATGATATCTATCTCCAGGGAATGGTCCCTTCTGACAGCATGACCAAAGTAGGTGAGAAACATCTGGCCATTCTAGCTTCTAAAGAGCATTCTCGCTCAACTGCACCCAGGACAGAAATGTCAGTTCTTCTGGCAGTCCATGATATTTTCAGTATTCTTTGCCAACACCACAGTTCAAAGTCATGAACTCTTCTTAGTCTTCCTTATTCATTATCCAGCTTTCATGTGCATATGAGGTGACTGAAAATACCATGGCTTGGGTTACGCACATCTTAGTCTTCAAAGTGATGTCATTGTTTCTTAATACTCTAAAGGAGTCTTTTGTAGCAGATTTGTCCAGTGCAATATGATGTCTGATTTCTTCACTGCTTTTTCCGTGGATATTTCTTATGGATCCAAGTAAAATTAAATTCCTAAAAACTGCAATCTTTTTCTCCATTTACTGTGATGATGCTTATTGGTCCAGTTGTGAGGATTTTCCTTTCCTTTAGGTTGATGTGTAATCCATACTGAAGACTGAAGTCTTTGATATCCATCAGTAAATGTTTTAAGACATCTTCACTTTCAGCAAACAGGGTTGCACCATCTGCGCATCATAGGTTGTTAATGAGTCTTCTTATCCTGATGCTGTGTTCTTCTGCATATAGTCTAGCTTCTCAGATTAATTGCCCATGTACAGATTGAAGAAGGATGGTGAAAGGATGCATAGCCTTCCTGATTTTAAACCATGCGGTATCCACTTTTTATGTTTGAATGACAGCTTTACATGTTCTAGAGGATGAATAAGAATAAATACAGTAGTAGCCCCAGTTTTACTTGTTGTCATGACAAGGTTATTTTATATAATACTCTTTCACAATGAAGGTATATTTTATGCTTGATGCAAAATCTAATTAAGCAACAGTGGTGACAATAAAGTTGCAAATAAAAAAAGGCAAATAGTGCTTCTGTTCCGATTTTCTGGTTAGCCTAATGTTGTAGTTAAGGTTATATGTCCACTTGGCTGGCCCTGATTTTGAGTGGCTGGACATCTGGATGTAGTTATTCCCCATGATGAATCTGATAATCAGCTACATGGTAGAATCTGTAGTGAGCAGCTGAGTAGCTACCTTAGGGATGTAGTCTGCTTCAAGTGTGTAAGGAGAAGTGTTGAGAAAGTTCTCTGAGCTTTTGTCACATCTGGATCCTGTGTTGGGCTGTGTCTTCATCTCAAAGGCCTCCCATGTTGTCTGTTGATCTTGAGACTGTTACCAGACTTGAATTAGTGGCCTGCTGTGTTGTTTGATAATTTTGTGACTGTCCCTTTTTCCTTGTCAGCCTTGGGTTTGCCAGCCTCACTAGCCAGCATCAGTCTGAGTTAAGAGAAGCCTCCAGCTTCAGTGGGCCAGGAGCAAGAGGCAGAGCTGAATCCTAAGATTGAGGGGCCTTCACTTGGTCCCTAGAGCTGGCACTTTGAACTCAGATTCTAGCCTCCAAAACTGTAAGAGAATAAATCCCTGTGTGTTCAAGCCACCCATCTGTGGTATTTTCTGTTAGAGCATCAATAGGTAACCAAAACACCAAGATGTGATAATTTTACAAAGCAGGGCTGATCACCTTTAAGTAAGTATATTCTCATTGGTTCAGGATCTTTTATTTATATTTACTAGGTTAGTAGAACAAGATTTGTTTCCTGACCCCTAGAACTGTCCACAAGGTACAGAAGCTAATAAAGATGAAGAAGTTTATAGACAATTTGATAATTAAAATTATAAGATGGTCATTCTTTATTTGTATGTCTGTGTCCAAATGTGTTGTAGATGAATATGCACTGATATTATAGTATGTAAAATATCTTGGTGGATAAAATCGTGATAAAAATATAAACTTGGAGGGAAAATATGAACTTGGAGCCTATGTTTTCCCCTTTGAAAATCCACTCTCATATTCCCTAATGAGGAATGAAGTAATGACCTAGTCACAGTCAAGCATATTAATTGAGCCATAGTTTTAACAGATGTCTATGGTGAAGGTAGGAGCTCTGGTAGCATAGTGGCTAAGACACTTGACTGCTAACCAGAAGGCTGGTGGTTCAAACCCACCAGCCACTCCTCGGAAGGAAGGTTGGACAATCAACTTCTGTAGTGATACTGCCTTGGAAACCAATGGAGGGGTCACTATGAGTCGGGTCCGACTCGACGGCACATAACAACAACAACAACATGGTGAAGGTACCAGAGTTGGGACAAGCACCTATTGTAGCTTAACTTCTTTTTGTGTCTGTTCCATCCATATGGAGAGAATTCCCATCCACAATTTTACCTCTTTGTTCCTTTGCATATCTTTTTGCTCTAAAGACACAGGAGATAAAACCTTACTGTTTCCTTGGCTTACTTGTTCTGGTTTTCTTTGGGGTTCAAGACACTCAAGGCTAGGATGACTGCAACTGGGAGGGTTTAAAGATTCTTAATGTGCTTCTTGGAACATTGGAGACAGTCTCTTCCTCTCACTGTTCTGTGCTCTCTTTCTCCATAACAGGAAAGCGGGCTGTGCATTGAGCTCTTTTATTGCCACAGTGGTTAGTAATCCAGATAGAAGTGTGGGCTCAGTGGGAACACAAAGAATAGGTTTTTCTGCTTTCCTTGTTCTGAAGCCCTAGGTGATGTTCAGGAAAGAGTAATGGATGGTGTATATAACCTCTTTACCAGTGTTTTCCATTGGGTTAGCCAAGAGTCCAGATAGACAAGTACTTTGGTGGTTAACTACTAGAAGACCTCATAAGAGAGTAGCTGGGTTAGGATAGACAGATAGATAATTTCCTCCTTAAATTGAAGAAATTCTTTTAGCTGGTGAAACTAACTCAGATTCTCAGTGGGAAAACAAAAACTCAAAAGTGCCAGAAATAACATCATAGTCTTTCTGCAGATGACTTTCTTACTATTCTCAACCCTCTATTCCATTTCCTACAATTTTGTATAATTTTTTTTTTTTTTTTTGCAGAGATTTAATTCAGCAATGTTCAGATGTCTTTGGCCCTAAATTCAATTATAATTTAGTGTTGTGGGGTGTGGAGGTCACCAACACGTTATTTACAGGCTACAATATAAATGGAAATAAAGTCATCTTTCCCAATAGTCTCCTTGATCCTTGGCACACTTTGGGAATCACAAAGGATATCAGTCAAGATTTGCCTGCTGTGGTCATCAAAGGTAACAGAGTTGTGAATATTCAGAGCTCCATAAATAGGATAAAATATATCCGCATGCATTAATAAATTAAGGGACACGTGTGGTTCAGTGGTTGAATTCTTGCTTTCATTTGTCAGAATTAGGTTGGCTTCCCCACCAATGTACCTCACGTACAGCCAATGCCCATCTGTTAGTGGAGGTTTGTGTGTGTCTGTGATGCTGAATGGATTTCAGTGGAGCCTGCAGACTGAGGGGAAACAGGAAGGAAGTTCTGGTGATCAATTTCCAGAAATCAGCCAATGAAAACCCTCTGGCCTCCTCTCCTATCACAGGGGTGGCACAGTATCTGCAGCATTTAGTTCTGTTGTACATCATGTTGCCATAAGCTGGGGCCTGACTTGACCACAGCTAACAACGACATTAATAAATTGTTTTTAATATCGTTATTGACAAGAGACACGTGATACTTCTAAGGAGGTGATAGGGAGATAATTTAGCCTTCACTATTATTTCATCATCGTTCTTGCATCTAAAATAGAACACCATAAAAGAGAAACAATCAAAACAGGGAAAAAGGTGCATATAAAATGAACCATTTGCATACTTGTATTCTTTTTTTTTTTTAATAAAAAATTTATGTGGTTTAAGATAATCAAGAGAGATGAAGTCATATCCTTTTGTTAATGTAATTACTTGTTAAAAGAATTTATTTGGTCCAAAGTCTCTGTACACTAGATAAATGAGTGTGCAATAGCACAACAGTTTAGTTCTTACAGCAATTTCCTCACTTAAAACACACGATCATTCCAATTTACATTAACAGCCAGCTTGTAGATATTCTGAACAATTTGTTCTAAGAGTTAGTACTCCATTAGACTCCAATAGACCACTGGGGAAATTTTCTAAAATGAGGCTTAATGAGATTCAGACACTGTAACCTCATCAGATGGAATTTACATTATGTTACACATGGGTCAAACAAAAAGGAAACTAAAAACATTATTCTCTGAATCTGCCACCTTAATCATTCCCTGAAACTTTCATAAGTTTGTAGCACAGAAGGATGCTGGTAATTCTCTTTAATAATTGTCAAGTTTATCTAAACTTAACCTACGAGGAAGTTTACTTGTTTGACACAAAGCCCATTATATTAGTAAACTAATCCACCTTCTTATTTATGGCCACACATTTTGATCCACCTTTAACAAAACCTTTGAAAATAAGTGACATCCAGCCCTACCCTTAGCTAATTAGAATTGCTGAAGAATGAGGCTCAGATATTGGTTTGTTTGAATGGCCTTCCAGGTGATTCCAATGTGAAGGTAGGTGTTAAAATATATCTGGTCTTTTCATAGTCCATAAGTAGGTATTCTAACATTTCTCCTTTTCTTTTTAGGTGAATCATTTTGTAAAGATATGTTAGAACCAAAGGATACTGATTCAGCTGAACTAATTCAAGCACGAGAAAAAATATTTCAGATCCTACAAACATGGCTAATGGAATAGATCTCGCTGATAGATAAGTGCAACAAAGCCCCAAAGCTGCCCTCCAATGTTATTGCTCAAATGTAAAACCTCTTGCAAGGATAATATTAAATCAGATCCTAAAATGAAATTCCTCTTTGTGAGATTTAAGTTCATTTTCTTTCATGGAAGGTCATCTTGTTTCTCCTTCCTTACTGGCCTTGAGTAGCAGCAGACCATCCCAGCACACAAGAAAGTAATGACCCTGGAGGACCATAGGTATCCAGTTAGCTGGTGGCCAGATGACAGAAGCTACACATCTGGGTTTTCCAGGACAATCTCTATTTCATTAACTCATTCTTTTTAAGAAAAACCCAATCATAGCATGTAAGTATAAAAGTATTTTAATTTTAGATATACATTAATACATTAAAAAGGAAAAAAAATAAACTATGCCAAGAAATGAATGCTTTTCTTTGTCAAGAGAATTTAGGGATAGGTACAACTTGAGAAGGAGCTCTGGTAGTGTAGTGCCTAAGGCACTTGACTGCTAACCAGAAGGCTGGTGGTTCAAACCCATCAGCCACTCCTCGGAAGGAAGGTTGGGCA